CTTTCAAAAAAAAAAAAAAAAAAACATGTATTCCTTTCTGAATAGAGGAATGAAACAAAATGATATGATTTCAGGTATTTCCCAGTGACATAAATGTCAAAGGGATGGACAATTTATATTAACTCTATGATTCACTATGCTTCCTAGGATGGTTCAAAATAACTTCACATGAAACTTATTTTTCCAAAGAAAGTAGTTTGACATGAAACAACAAGAAAATATAAGTATCATAGAGAAGCAAAAGCACAAATATGTCCTGCAGGGTACTTCAACTTCCATTCACTCCAAGAACACAATTTAGAAGCATAGGAGTACTTCGATATAAATTACACAGTAACTTTTTTTTTATAAGGATAAATTATGCCATTACTGCCGTCTGCCAGCAAGGAACTTGTCCAACATCATTCAAAAATAAGAAAACTTAAGAGGAAATAGCATCAAATGTCCCTAATTTTGGAAGTGTACTGTTATTCCTAAACAAGGATCTTGTCTAAGTCCTTCAAGTTATGCTTGTTTGACATCATCACTCCTTCACTCCTTGTATTGATTTTAGGCCACTTATCCTACCAAAAGTAAAAGTTCCAGCTGACATTATGGTATTAAAGGTATCAAGAAAAAGATTGTCCCAAAGTCTATAAAGTAAAAGAGAAGAAGCATTGGTGAAGATCTACCAAGCTTTTATTTTCTGTCTTGAAGATATTTTTCCAGAACGTCCTGATTTAGATGATGGGAGGTAAACATTGTGCTTTTGGAGGTAAATTTGACCGCAAATTGAAATAAGACAAAGCCAAACAAGTAAACTTCTAGGACTTGATAGGAACTCAGACTTTGAAAAAGATCATAAAGTTTCTACTTTAAAAAAAAAAATAAGTTGAGGATCATAGAGTTAAAAACTCTCCAATCCCATGCACTTATCGTGATGCTAAAATGAAAAGCAAATGCAGGAATATTTTGGCATAGTCATACCACTCTCGCCATCAGAGATCTCTCCGAGCTTTGAGATGGCCTCCAGAAGTGCTTGCTCATGCTCCTGCACAGTAACAAACTTAATTTTTTCCTTTGCCATAAATGAGTGAGCAGTAACCACTACCAGACAGGTGGTGTCTCTTACCTTTAGCACTTTTTTTGCCTTTTCGATCTCCAAAGGGTCTGGATGACTGGAGCCAAAGACCCTCTCCACCTGATGACATTTGCCAGTCTATGAACAAATAAAGAAAATGCGACATCTCAATGCGCAACAGAGATTAAATTACTGTTGCTAACCTCCTTAATCAGTGTTTCCGTCTGAAGTAACTGGATATCATCAGATCCCTTCTTTCCTCCATTCTGTGATGGTGGAAAGCCTTTTCTGGACTGTGGTTTAGTCAACCCCCTTCCCCTGCCTGCACCTGGAGCGCTATCACGCCCGACAGGCCTATTCATGCCACGGCCTGATCCACCATAATTTCCATGACGAGAAATTCCTGGGTCTTCACCTTCCCACTGAATATCCTCTGGAGAAATCTGTCAGAGAGGAAAATTTGACCTTTGAAGAAGCTCTTCAAGAAAACTACAAAAGAACACTGATAACCACATGATGCAACTAAGAATAAAAATGAATAATGAGCTGGGTACAGAGTAGGTTGTCAGGCAGCCTGTAGTTCATACTGGACACCAGGCATGTGTCAAAGAGGCATTTTTATGACTCTTCTAAACATTGGAGATGAATATAATGCTAATAACAGCCTGCATAATGAGTTTAAAAGGTTCTTGCGATCAAATCTCCACCCCTGAATGTCACATTTTATTTCCAGAATCAAACATTGATATGTTTTTTATATACTTTGGCAATCTACAGGGCAAGTCATTCACCCATCACCAACACCAAACGAAGGTTTTCCTATTCAATTAGTGCAACTCCGACAATCATTTATTGAATGTAAGGACTTGAACTGATAAATATGGATGACGAAAAAGAAATTTCACAAGATCGCACCTTAGAGAGAATACTATAAGGACTTGAACTACCAATAATCTTGATTGTCACCCATCTTGAGGTCAAATACACCACATATTATATGTCAGAGCACTCTCACAGTAGTTAAATATTAGAAATAAGCAAACTGCTATTGATTTCTCTACTTCTTTCTTGATATACTAAAGATTTATGCTCCAATTTTGGTACATGGTGGAATCTTTCGATAAGTGCATATTCCAGAAGACTTGAGAATGGACCAACAATCTCCCAAATGCATGGTGTAAACTTCATTGAATTTAGTACAGAAGACTATAAAGTATTCTTAAAGGCACATGCCATAAAATGTTGGACTTGGGATGCTCAAAAAGTTACAGCTATCTACCATTTACGGAAAATAGGTCCCTCATAAAACACATATAGTTGCACATCAGACACATGGAAATTATACCTTCAAGAGAAAATATGGTGAAGTCACCTTTACAGAGATTTTTGCCCTCTACCTAGCAGTTCCCAAGGGAAATGGTTCAGACTCTATATTTAGAATCCTGAACTTGAAATCCAAAATTCCCTTTTTTTCCCTTTTTTTTGCTTCCGTAATAAATGGAAACTTCTAGTGAATACTTTAGAGCATGCTTGGTTACATCACAAGTAACGGAATACAGATCATACAATTTTCTGAATCATACAACAGATATTTTTCTTGATATGGCCAACCACATAAACCAATAAGAAAAAGATTTGCCTGCAGGACAGTCAAACAGTTTATCAAAGCATGCCATCAGAACATAGGATCTATTACCTCTTTAAGGTTGACCCATTCCCATGTCTCATTTGTAGTACCAATGTCATAAACAAGGGCATGTCTACCCTGAAAAAGCGCATCACAAGATTCACGCATTCAACCACAAAAAGGAAAAAGAAAAAAAAAAGAAGCAAAGCTTCGCGCAATAAAATCAGGTGTACCTCAGCTTTGTTATAGTCAGTAATGACTGCCTCATAAAAATTATTGTCATCAGGCCATCTAGTCCTCACTTTCCTTCCAATCAATGGATCAAATGATCCTGCTTCAGCAGGTTCAGAGACCCGATTGCCTAGTTGGCCTCTTCCAAAAGGACCAGAGGAAGGGTACAGCATTTTCATTGAAGATGCACCAGGCATCATCTGGCCCTATGAATAGATGCATAGCAGGAAAATACTCAGAACTAAGAGAATAGTTAAACCATGCATTGCTCAACTGCACAGAAGAAAGCATAAAGTATCAGACTTACAGATTTACTCTTTTTGCCCTTAGGCCCCATTATAGGCCCTCTCTTGGCAGCGGATGAAGACGGCTGACTTGCAGCAGCCATAGCAGGTGGGTGAAAAGTAGGAGATGGTCCAGCAAAGGACTGTGACGGTAAAGATGGCGCTATCTTCTGTTTCTTCCGTGAAGCTGAGACAGAAGGGCTAGGTAATGGGTCGTGAATAGCTTGAGCGGTGCCAAGCATACCAGGTTGATGAGCCCCCGACTGCCTCCACTCCCTATAAAAGCGATAATCAAAGGCCAGCCTTTAGAACTGTGACAAACTCTAGAATACAGAAACTTCACTGAATAAAGTTCTCGATAAATACACCAAGAAGTTCTCTACCAAAGTTAACAATAGAGCTAACCTTATTCTTCGGATGACATCATCAGCATTAACTCTACCAAGAAGTTCTCGATGTTCTTCATTGGACAATCTTAACTCTTTTCTTAACTCCGTTATCAAACTTTCTTTCTCCTGAATAAAATATATTCATTGAGCAGTCATTTAAACCTGATCAAACAAATGAACATATTAGATTTCATGAGTATGACAAAAGGTACCCAAGTAATGGCATCAGCTTGAGCTTTAAAGGCTCTTAGAACCGAACTGTATGCTTCTTGCTCGAGCTGGTGAATTTGGGCCTCCATGTCAGTTTCACCATACATCCTTTGGTAGGGTACAGATGCCATGACAGCAGATCTCCCATTTCCATTCATGCGGCCACCACCTCTTGGAATCCTATTTTGATGTGATGGAGGAAGATCATCATCCGTTCCTGCAATCATTCCATCAGGTTGTCAGAAAATTGAAACACTAGGTGTAATCATAATACAATACAACACATGAGAATTATCCATATCAGTACTGTGTGATTAATAAAGGCATATGAACATATGAGGAAAACTACATTGCACGAACTTTCACTTCAAGCTAAGGAGCAAGAAGCAGTGTGGATTTCAATCCAACAAAAGAAATTCTCAATATACCATTTCCAGTATAAAACTAAAAGCCAAACTACAGCTGGAGTAACAATTTTAAAGGTTCCAAAATGAGATTTAAACTTTTATTCAGTATCAAGATCTTGTGGCAGAACTACAAGCATTCGAAGACTGTCACAAAGCTGCACATAGGACAACAATTCAACTACCAACTCCACTTTACATTTTCTTTTCTATAACAACTTAACAGTTTTTGCAGGCAAGTTTTCATTATTTCATAATAAAACCAATAATTCTCACAATAATATCACTTTAAACTTCTCACTGAAAAATTAAACACATATTAACACCACCCATAATCATATAAACCATAATTCTAAAGGAAAAAGCAAAAAAGATTAAATTTTTGCCTCAAACTAAACATACCAAGTACCGCAATTGCCCACATACAAAGTGCAAACAGCTCAAAATTCCAATCTAACAAAAATAGGAGATAAAAAGATCCCAACTTTCACAATGCAGACGCTAATTTCACTAGCCTTGTACCCTAATTAAATTACAAATCCACAAAACTAAAGAAAAAAAATGAAAACTTGAAAACACTAACCACTGCTGTCGTACGGTTCGTAGTCCATAGCCAGTTTGCAAACTTAACCAAACCCCCAGATTAGGAAAAAAACCAAATCAAGGCTTCAGAGGGTGCTTTTTGAGAACCAAATAAGGACAATAATATTGAAGCCCCAAAGAACTAGGTATTTAGAAAATTAAGCAAAAACCAAAAAGGCAATTGGGTTTGTGAGGGTACTCTTTTTAGGGTTACGATTTAGAAAACCAAGGAATCGATTGTGTGATTATGAAAGAATTGAAGGCGAAAAGGAGGAGGAGAACCCAGCAAAGGGGGAAAACGGACGTGAAATAGGTCTATAGATTTTGGTTTATTGGAAGGTTTGAGTTCCGCTTCCTGGGTTGAGTTGACTCGTTCTGGTTTGTCTTAACTCGGACGGGTCGCGGACAGACACAAGAGATTTGGGAATTTTTGTTTGCCTTTGAAATTTCAAAGCATTTTGACCTCTTTAAATTTGACTTTAAAAGTAACTTGAGTTAAAGTCGTTGTTCCACTTGAACTAACAAAGTATAACATGTCTGTGAAAATTGAGATGTCGTTTAGTTAAAAAAAATATTATTAGTAAATATTTCGAGTTTAACTTATGGAGTAATGCATTTTTAATGTAAAGAAAAATTTTAACTATTAAGTTATCGTTATATGATAGAGAAGATAACTTTATAATAAAAAGTTACTTTAAAATATTTTTCGGGTGAGCTAATAGCATACAAATTTCTTTTCAATATTTATGTATATAAAGTATAAACTAAGCTCGTATAATATTTTTCCGCTTCCATATTTATTTGTGTGCTTTCCTTATGTTGATCAAAGTAGGTGTGTGTATGAAGATAAAAAATTTAAATATGAATATATCGAGAGAAAAAAATCATATAGGTATGATAGTATATATATATAAACGATCTTATTAGTAAATTAATAATTAGATTGGATAGTTTAATTAGATCCGGTATTGTGCTTCGAAGTTTTATATGAATGACATTGCTTTCTCTAGTAATGACTTAGCTACAACAAATGAGCTTAAGTTCATAAGTTAAAGAACATCTTGACGTTATTACAATAATTCAAAGTAATAAATGTAAATATACTGTCTGGCATGGTATTTGTAGACAATAAATTTGCGTCAAGAAAATAAAATCAAGACCGTAAATATCGCAATAATCGTAGTATTTTATTTCGAATATTTGAGTGTACAATCTCTATGAATCCTCTGATTCTTCTTTTCAATATAAACTCAAGGGCCTTTGAACTTGATCTTGAATCTATATTTGTTTCCACGAACGATGATCTTGTTCTTGAGCTTGAGCTTGATTGTTTGAACTTGACCTTGATTTCTTCTTCGTTCTTGAGCTTGAACTTGATTTCTTGAACTTGAACTTGATTGCTTGAAGCTTGAAACTTGTAGAGAAATTTGCGGCGTTTGATCCACGAGCTCTTTCTTGCTTCTTGTTATAACTTCTGGTGTCTTTTCTGAGTTATGAAGACCCTTATTTATAGTTGTGGAAGAGAGGAGTTGTGATAAGAACGTACTCTTTCCGACCAATCAAATTGAAGCATGACATGGCTACATTTGATTGGCCAGAACATGTCACTTGCACACGTGGCGCGATTTCATTGGCCTTTTAGTGTGACTGGACATGCCTTGTCATTTTGACACGTGGCATGGTCCTATTGGCTCTTTCGCTTGACTTGGCGCGCCACATCATTTGACACGTGGCATGGAACAGGGCCTCTAGGAAGATGACAATCTGGGCTTAATGAAGTGGGCTCATCACTTTAGCCCAATTAAATGGGCTAACCCAATGGATTAAGACTTATTTATTTAATCTATTCATATTGGATTTATATAATTAATTCAAGAGAAATGCACTATCTTTTAGTAGTAATTAGCCATCTATAGATATCATTTGTTATATTACGGATTATAGATATCTTTTATGTAGTTATAAGATGTATTTAATGTATTTAAACTATTGTATTCATGAATACAGTAGCAAAAATAGGCGTGAATCAGGGAAGTCCAGCTAATCAGTTGTTGTATTCGACTGTATTCATGGAGTGAAATATGAGATTACAACTGGACAGATTATTGTATTCAACTGGACAAATTTTGTATTTTCAGTTATAAAAAAGATTCTCAACCGAAAAATACCCCAAAAAAATATAGCAATTTTCACAGAAATTATATAATACATCTGAATACATAAATTATATTAATTAAAAAAATTATGAATACATTCATGGCATATAGCGAGACAGTGAATACAATGAAATACATAGAATACATCGGGATACATTGAAATACAATGAGAAAAAAGATAGTGAATAAAATGAAATACATGGAATACAACGAGATACATTGAATTACAATGAAAAAAAAGACAATGAATACATTGAAATATATTAACACAAAATCAAGTTGCTCGGCCCCAAACTCCATCGTCTTTGTTCAAGAACAAACCCTAATTTCCGGCGAATCCTCCGTTCACCGGAAGCCGGTAGTGAAAACGGGTATTCGAAGAAATCTATGGAAAACTGGATTTGAAGAGAATGGCGAAAGCAGTACTTGGGAAAGTCAGGGAGAAGCAATTGAATAATACTTTGAGTTGGAATGCAGAGGATTTGTCCTATGAACAAGTTGAATATGGTGCTATTGATGCTTTTGTGTCGTTTGAGTTAGGGAAGAATTTGTTTAATATACTGTCGAACAGAGATAGTCGTCGTGTTAAATTTCAACCATGGCTGCTGCTAAAAGAGATATTGAGGAGGTACTCCGCCGCCACCGGAATTACTTTTTTTGGTGTCTTTGGAATATGGTTCTGTATTATTGTAGTCCCACTGATCAGCCCATGAATTCTCGTATGCATTGTTCTTCTTCATATCTTCTTTCTTTGATCAAAGATGAGAATTTTGGAAAAAAGAAAGAGTAATTAGAGGAAGAGATCCACGAAACTTTGGGAGAAAAGAGAGTTGATATTAGAGGAAGAGGTCCACGAAATTTTGGGAGAATGGGATGTATCAAATTAGAGAGAGAAAGAAAAAAGTGTAACTGATTAGCGTATTTAGTGGCTTAGGGCTAGGAGGAAACCAAAATTAAATATTTTGCTATAAATCTTAAAAGGTATCTATAGAATATAATTTTTTTAAATGGTATTTATTTAAAATAAATAAGGTGTTAACATTTGCCATAGGAGGTAAAAATTCCTTAATTCAATTATATTAGCCCATAACATATATTTGGACCAATGTATCTTGAATTTAAAATATAGTCCAAATTATTTTACGGATTTAATTTTAATAAAATTTATATGCCCACAGTATCAAACGTTTTTAAATATTATCCGGAGCATACTTTAGAAATGGAAAACTTGGTCCAATTGAAATAATTTAATTCCTCACTCGAGAAGTTAATATGTGATCTTCTACACATTTGTCCAATCACCATACATCATTATAGTCTTGTGTGATTCGTATAATTGGATCTCAAGGCCACAATATTACCTTATCGAATATGTACTCTGCGTGACAAATATAACTAAAGTGAATTGGATAAAACATAATCAAATAAGAAAAGAAATTAGCACGCACACATACATACATACACATATATATATTGCCTTTACTATAAAATTTAAAGACTAAAAAAACCTTGTAACATTAAGTGATAATAATACCCTTCAAAAATAATGTTATTCCTTCATGACCTTCAAACCAAATATACTAATGTATAGAAACGTTAGGAAAATCGCTCCATATATTCCTAATAATGCAGTTGCATCTCATTCACTTCTTGCCATTTTCATGTTCAATTTTAACTTTGTACTTATTTCTTCAATTTTTATGTTATGTATTAATAACCAACAACATCACTTCATAAATTCTATCAAATATTTTTTTCCTCACACCGAGCAATAAATTTTTTCTTGCTATCAAAGAATTGAGAATACGTGAACAGCTATACTTAACGTTTAAATAACTTCAAGCGTTAGAGAAATGAAGAGGAACAAGTAGTGTCAATACTAAGAAGGTATGTTATTCAATCTGTATTGCTGTAAAATTAATAAAACAATAAATTTTCTGTCAGAAAGTTAGTAGAACTAGAACGCCAAAATAAATTCTGAAAACGGTATAGGAACTTCAAAATAAATTCTGAAAAACAGTATAAGAATAAATCGAGCCCACTGAATACACAGTGTGTCATTAAAGAAATTATTCTCTCAAGTACCCGAGGTTCTGGAATATATCCTCCCAGGATAGAACAATTTAACTCACCGGAGTGTTGGTACCAAAAAACGCCGATGAATAGCGAACCACTCGAAGACTGTAAAACACATTGGAATTTTTATGTGCAGAAGAAGAAGAAGAAGATCAGAAAATTTCGTAAGTAAAAGTTCTGGGATTGAAGGAATATTTATAGACCATTTGGCATTGATTCTGAAAAGGTTTGCAACCTTTTAGAATAGCCATAGTTGTTGCTGGATTTAAAATAATTCAGGAAAGAAAACGGATCACACCAGGGTCGCGGGTTATTTGGATTGAATTTTCGTTAATTAATTAATTAAAACCGAAGCCGAGCGACGATAGCGCGAGGCTTGCCTTCTTCTTTAACTCTTTAAGAGCTAAAAGATGAGCTTCACTATATATACACAAAGATTTTCTTTCCTTCTACCAATGAAGGACAAAGTGCATTAATAAAGTGAACTAATTCAAAATTTCACTTCCCTCTATTTATTTTCCCACCATTTTCCATTCACTCCTCTTTTGTTATTTCTAACAAAACCCAACAAGGTAGAGATTCAAGTTGAGTGCAGAAAGAGATGACCAAAAACACCGAGGCTAGAATGAAAAACAAATGAGGCAAAAAAAAAAAAATAGAGGTTGAGCTTTACAAAAATACAACAGATAGATTCTAATTTGTGATCTTGAATGAGATCGATACATGCTTAATAGCCAAAGAGCTTCATCTCATATGTCTCCGTCTATGTACATTTGTGGGACTATGTTTGGTCCAGAGTTTTTCTATGCCAAGAAGCTCTATATCGGATATTTTATCTGTTTTGTTCTTTTGTTTATCTTTAATATTAATGTAGATTTCAATAAAATTCAAACGTGCGCATTACATTTAATCAATTCTAAAGTGACCATAATACTTTTGAAGAAGTGAAGTTAATCTACGTAGGTGGTCTTATAGTTTTTTTTTTTACATTGTCATATCAAGTTGCGCTCCAATCTAAAGTGCTAAAAGAACAATGAGTAAAAGCGTACCCGCTTTCTTTAGTTAGATTATGATTTCCAAAAGAAAATACGTCAATATAGTAAATGGGCAAAAGGCATTTAGGAAATATTACCAACTTAAAACCTTTTCCAAAACAAAATGGGTTTCCCCTTAGCGAAAATCCATATATTTATACTCTTATCAGGTTGTTCCTTGTTAAGCCGTTAATATTCTGTCTCTTGTAGTTTCAAGAACTCAAGCCCACGACTTTGTTCTCCTTAGTTTCTTTTTTATCGATGAGTTTAGGCATGGATTTAGAATCACTCTTTCTAAACCATTTTGCCATAGAGAAGACGCCAAATATTTTTAACTTGATTAAAGCAGCCATTCACGTTGGTACATGGAAGTACCCTACAAGGTTTAAGAAACACAAAGATGAAATACTGATGATGTTGCTGAATCCGGAAAAACCAGGAATCGGTGATGAAATCGACAGTGCTAGTACTGATGAAGAAGAAGATGAAGTTATCGACAGTGCTAGTGATGAAGAACAAGATGAAGAAATCGACAGTGTTGGTGATGAAAAGGAAGATGAAGAAATCGACAGTGGTGGTGTTGAGTTCTCTGTTGATGATCTCCACCAGACGGAGAAGAATTCTTCTTCTAGGTTTCAAGAAACTGATCAAGAAACAGGCCAAATTCTTGGGCGAGAAGGGAACTACAACGTCAGTAAGGCCAAATCTACTCTATTGAAAGTAAGACTAAGTTTAAACAAGACTCGGGACATTGACGACAAGCTTCAACACAAACATGTTGATAGTGATAAAGAAAAGAAGACAGAAGTAGGGAAGTGTCTGTCCGACAGTACAGAAAGCAAGAACATGAGTTGTGTCACGGGATCGGCAACCAAGAATTCTCCTGGAGGTTTAAGGAAGATGAACAAGGATATCAACCACGTAGAAGAAAAACAAGATTGTTCCTCACAGAAGATCAAGAGGAGGATTGAGGGAGGAGGGCAGTTACAGAAACAGAGAAACTGCAGTGCAATTACAAGACCAAATCAGAAAACACCACACAGCTCTACAGTAGCAAGACCAATGCAAAAACCAGCACAAAGCTCTACAGTTGCAACACCAATGGAAAAACCAGCACAAAGCTCTACAGTTGGAAGAACAATGCAAAAAGTAACACAAAGCTCTACAGTTGGAAGACCAGTGCAAAAAGTAACACAAAGCACTACAGTTGCAAGACCATTAATGGAAAAAACAACACAAAGCATCAACGATATGAAGAGTTCGGGAATGAAGTTTGAATCAAGTAAAAGAAAATTTGAGGAAAGGGTTGCTGAGCAAAAAAATGCCAAGAGAAGGATCATAATGGTGGACTTTCATGATATGCCGAAACCAGCTAAAGATCCTTCTGCTCCCAAACGCTGCTGGGATAGGAGGAGGAGGTCTTGAGATTCTGATTCGTTTTGTTGTAAATTCCCTATCATGAGAATCTTGTTTCTTCTGTTTTGTCTTTAAATTGTAGACAGAATTATAATTCACTTGACTATTTTACAAGTAGTCCTAGGTATATGCCCTTTATATATGTAAACTAATATCAAATCAATGAAATAATAGTTAATTACAGTTTCAAAAATAGTGCTGTTCAAAATGCTTGACAGATCTATTATTCATTACCTGCTCAGATTATTCAGTTACTAACTATGGCTAGGATTTTATTAATGCTTCTACTACTTTAAAGGCTTTTTTGTTGTGGGTTAATGCTTTAAATATATTATTTTCATCTTTTAAACTGATTATTAGTGGAAAAATCAGAAATATTTAATGTGCATTATCATCTAACTCTTAGTTTGGTCCTGCTTTCACTTACACTGGTGCATACAATCAGGATGAGATTTGAATCTGCTAAGCTACATAAATTCAAATGTTCCAGCCTTAAATAAGCACAGAGCTGCACTATTTACTAGTCGTTTTACGCATACATGCTACTCAGAAGACATTCCTTTCAATTTCAGGTCAGTTGAAAGCCTTCAAGATTTTTGAGTAAGAAGTATATGACTGTAGTACATTAGCACTGCTTATCCTAATAGGTTAAGTTTAAAGGTTCCATCACTTTTGCTAGCACATAAGAAGCAACAAATACTCGTCCCCAGGAGAAATAAAAATAAACTGATTTTCTTACTTTAATGTCCTGTTTCAACATGTGTTTAATACTTAAGTTCAATATGGAAGGATCCGAAGAATAAAATGATGGCATGCACTTAAAACTGCAGTAATAATTTCATAATTAGGCAGTATTGTCCAAGTAGCAATTCCAAAATGAAGTTAAGTTGAAGCAACTAATGAATGAATTGCAGGAAAATCAAGAAGAAGAAAAATCCTTAGGTTTGTTCATACTACATCTAATACAGGGGAATCCTTCTTCGAAGCATGTTTCTTATAAGGAGCGTGTTCCATTGAGAAATTATTATAGTCTTCTAATATGTCAAAATGTAAAATGATGGACCTGTATTTCCTTACATTAGGATATAAGGAGGTAAGATTTTACGTCCTCTTTCATGTTTTAACTTTTTTGTATACATATACTGGTAGATGCCCATGCCAAACTACTCGATTTAACTAAAAAAGAAAAAGGTACACATATATCATCAAAGCTAACAGCTGAATATATATGAAGTTTTTGAGCAAACTATGACAATTTATTGGTTATTTTAGTTAATGAAACAACATGAAGCACATTGAAGCTACAAGAATAGTACTTATAAGGGAGTGCTCTTACAATTAGTCATAAGTTCAATTAGGAAATGGAGGCATGGGAATTTCAACAACCCCTTCCAACATATGTACTACCCCTCTCATGGAGGGCCTGATATTTGGATCCTCTTGAATGCACCAAATCGCTACTTTTACAAGCTTCTCTAGCTGCTTCATGTCGCTTACTTCCTCTTCATCGTCTTGTACTAGCTTATGCAGCATTCTCGAGTGGATACAATCATACACCCACTCGATCAGTAGTATTTCCTCTTCATTCTCCATAGCGATGTCCATACACCTCCTGCAACAAATGGTTTCTAGCAAAACAATGCCATAGCTATAAACATCCACTTTGGCAGTCACAGCTGTGTTCCTGAACCATTCTGGTGCAACATAGCCTCTGGTCCCTCTAATCCCCGTTAGTGTCCGAGTTTGATCCTTCATCAAAAGTTTTGCCAATCCGAAATCAGAGATCCTTGCTTCAAATGAATCATCCAGCAGGATGTTTTGAGGCTTTATATCGCAATGGATGATCTGTGTGCTGCACTCCTCGTGCAAATACAAGATTCCTCTTGCAACCCCATATGCAATTCTGATTCTTTTGTTCCATTCTTGCCTTGACTGACCGAAAAGGAAGTCTGCCAAGGAGCTATGGCTCATAAACTCGTAAACCAAAAGCTTATTTTCTGGTCCTTCATCACAGAATCCAACCAATCTCACCAAATTCTTGTGATGAGTCCTGGCTATTACACTGGCTTCTGTTTTGAATTCGTTCTCACCATCATTTGCTAGCTTGTCTAGTTTCTTGACTGCTACAACTGTTCTTGAATTAGAAGATGGCAACTCTCCTTTATAAACTGTGCCGAAAGCACCCCTCCCAAGTTCTAGCTTGAAACCATTTGTTGCTACCTTAAGCTCTTGGAAAGTGAAGTTTCTCAAATTTGTCTCCGGGATGCTTGATGAACCAACACATCGTGGTCTTCTACGGTAAACATATAACGCAAAGAGGGATGCCAAAAGAGCAAAGTTAAAAAAGGCAGAGGTGCCAAGGAGAACTGATCCCAAGATGGAAAATGCTGACTTATCTTTCTTCCCATTTCCCCTTTGTGATGGCGAATATGGGAAATCACCGGAGGGGATACTAGATATCAACACTTTAACAAAACCCTTGCCGTCAACCTCTTCCCTCCTTCCATTAGAAACTGGCATCTTCTTTTTATAACAGGTTCCCTTTTTTTCTACTGCAACCACACAATTACAGTCATACAAACAAGACTTCTGGCATTCATCTTGATTAAGGGAGTCCATTATCTCATAGTTTGCAGAATTAGGCCAAAATATGTTATCTAAAGGATACATATCATACAGATCTTCCGGATTAGTATCATCCAAATTGCATCTTTGGATTGGATCGCGTTCACAACCCCTGAACTCATTGCTTGGATCAGAAAGGTTAAATCCGGGAAGACAGTTACAATTTGGCCTTCCATTTGAGTTAAGCATGCAATAGCTATTGAAACCACAAGTTCCTATACCAAATTGACCCTGAATGGCCGAGCAGATATCATCTGGTTTAGACCAAACTCTGAACCAGCTCCCCTCCCACTTTCCGTTTCTTGGCGCCCTGGGATGAGCATATTGGGTTAACACACCATCATATTCAAGAATAAGCCTGTAATAGTAGTCTCTTGCTGGAACAATATTTCCAGAAGTTATATTCACAATCCTACTGCTGGTCATAATAATATAAAGGTAACCAGACTCATTAAAGATTAGCCTGTTTCCTGTCACATTAGGATATTTTGTATCAACCGTGTCACTCCAAAAGTATGCCTCGTATGCATTTCCTGTTGGCAATGCAAAGGTGTTGAGCACAAGATTGCCATCGGGTATCAAACGAAGCTCAAAATGCCCCCTCGAGAAGTTATTCTCTGCTGTCCTAGAAGACAATGACTTTTTAGTTTCAACTATTTGTGTAGGCAAGATTGTATCACAAGGGTGGTCAAAACTTTGCCACACAAGACTAGAATCGCTGCTAGCAAGGATGAAATTCCCTGTATCCAACAACGAAGCATAAGAAACGCTAATAAGACTTGGTCTCCAGAGGACTTTACCATCTGGATTCTCAAGAATGAGTTCACCATCTGTTTTAAGCTCAAGTTTAGATCCTTCTGGGGCTAGCTTATCTCCATTTGCATACCAAACCAATGTTTTGTTTGGTATTTTGTTGAACCAGATAGCGAGCAAGTAAAGTTTTTGACCTTCTATTTGGCGAAAGCCAAAGGCAAAGTCACCAGAAGGTGATTGCCATGCTAGAGAATTAACTGATGCAACAATGGACGACCCAAAAGTGATGTTTCTATTGCTACTAGAATTAGAAGCCTGCGCAAATGCAACCAATGATGTTGTTAGGAAAAGAAGAAGAAAGCCAAGAAGATGGTTTCCCATATGGGGTTTTAGATCATCAAAGTTTTGACAAGTACAAGTGAGTAACTGATAGAGGTTTACCCAGTCTACATTATGTATTGCCTTGTAACGCGTTATTCCTACATTGACAGAGCATTTGTTTGAACGAACCAAAAACCACGGCATTTGTTGGTCTTCCTATTTATTTCCAGAAAATGGAGTCATTTTCAGGAAATTACTCCTAGACTAATCTCATGATTCTTTCGGGAAGAAAACAAAGACTTTGAATTTTCAACTGACTAGTCTTCCATTAAGGATCCACATACGTCTACCCTATAGAAATACCCTTCCACCTACAAGAGGGACTGATACATCATTATTCCCTTTATTTTTTTAAAAATGATGATGGTGTCAAGCAAGCTTGCGCGCACCTCGACTAGTTCACAGGGTACCTGGTATCTACTGAATTTGAACCTTGGTCGGTCGTGTTTTTCTCCCACTTCATCGACCATTAGGCCATTACCTTTAGGTGGCATATACAGCCTTATTCTCTTAACTCTAAATTTATCTGCTAGCATGCATCATGCTTGATTGAATTTCCTCTGATTCCAGCAAACAATAATCTCCTTTGTAACAGAACAAGAAGATGAGCAACACAGCAAAATAATTTATAATAATCAAATGGGGATAACAAATAAGCTAATGGATATGATAATAGGTTCAAAATCTACACAAACAATCAACAGAGCAAAACAATCGGACCAGTGTTTGTTTTACATCCCCTCAACTCATTTTCTCGTATTCATTCTTCCCGAAACACATTCTTCTATAATAGGAAGAGGATCTTGTAAAGGAAATCGTTAAACTGACTACCTTGCCGGTCTAAGTTTTAGCTATATCATCTTCTAGAAACCTGCCCATCCAGCAGGTTGGGAAGCTGATTTGCTATTTACATTCTTTGGTTCACCAAAACGCTGATAATTTTTGGACTCGTTGAAAGTAGCCTTTATCTGAGAGCTGGAAGCTGGCACAGCCCTAAAGCTATCTGTTCCAAATCCTGATGTATTTGTTTCAGATGTCTGTCTGTTCTGGTGGCCATTTTTTGTCCTGACTGATCTAGGATTAGCATTAACTGAAGTAAGTTGTTGCTTTGGATCATCATCAGCAAATGCTTGCCAGGGCTTTGAATCTGGGCTCACTTGACTCCCGCCAAATAATCCTTGCTCAAGTTCCCATACTGTTCCCTCAATGTTATCTTTTCTCTGCATCAAAAAATTATTTTGAACTGAAAATTATTGAAAATCAGTTATAAATATTAGTACTAACAATGAGAGTTTAATAGCAAAGGATATACCGGTGGTGGAACACTGGATGGTTGACTTCCAGGAGAAGCTTGATCCCTCGAGGTGTCTCGATTTGGTGATGGAGTACTGACAGCAAGAGCTTGTTTAAGCTCTTGTATCTCTTGTCGCTGTGACCGGCATATTGCAGATAGCTTTTCAAATTTTGACGTTATTTCAGCCTTCTCCATGTTGGCACGTGACAGTTGTTCCTTCAGCTTCTCAACCTCTGCTTCCAAGAGCTCTTTCTTCTCTGGTTGTTTCGTGTTATTTCTAGGGCTAGGTCTATTGGTAGAGAATTCTGCAACAAAAGCATTGAGTGCTTCACCCTGGGTGACAGTTGACCCCTCTAACTTTGAAGATTTATCACTCCCAACACTCTGACATTCATCCTGGAAAAAGTTTATTTCAAAATCCTTTGATGAGGCTTCCCCTGCTCTATTAGCCGGTTTTGCTCGCACATTATTTTGTATTGGATGGGAACTGAGACTTTCCTCTTTTGAGGGGCTAGTTTTATAAGAGGCTGGAACCTTATTGGGATGACTCTTATCATGGCTTGAAGAATTGTGCCTAATCTCTTCGTCAAATTTGGGTCTGGATGTTTCCTCTGAACCAGAGGCAGTTGCTGCATGCTGAGTATTCCAAAATGCACCGATTGGACCAGTAGTTCCACCAGCTTTTGAATTATGTGATGAAGGAGACACATTCTGATTAGATTCTGCAGCCGAAGGAGGTGGTGGAGGATTTCTGCGAGGCATTGGACTAGTCTTACCTGTAGCTCTTGGAAATCCTGAAAATCAGCAGGTATTAGATTCCTTGAAGTGGGCCCACAATTTTGTGTCTTCGTGATGTCTACAGTCACAACGGAGTAGAGGTGTCACATCCATATGACAAGCTCCTCACCTCACCTCCTCCCCCTCCCGAAACCCCCAACAGAGGAAAGATGTGTATTTGCATGTTATATTACAAGCATCACTCAAATATTTCAATTGTACAGTAAATATGGAAGCATATAAACAGCTAATCTCTTTGTATAGATTTGAGGGTATCATTCCTCAAAAGCATCTCCTTACCTTTCATCAGTTGCATTGCTTTTCCAATTCTATAACAACTTCCAAAAATGCTTTTTCATCTTGGACTTCAAATACCTTTTTTTTTCTCAACTTCAACCAAATATTGTCCCCAACACCTACTAAAAACTTCAGATGACTTCAAACCAGAACCGGAAAAGGAGACTTCAGATTTTATAAAACTGATGGAATGAATTCAGATGAGGGAAATTAGTTCTTTATTGCGTATAAAATAGTGGGTTAAATGAGTAAATTGCCTGAGTGCAGTAATTTATCCAAAGTTATCATCCTACAAACTTCATGGATAAAATATTAATCAATCACAACTTTCCTGGAAGTAGCTCACAATAAAAACAAAAGGTCTGGAAAAAAAAGTCCTCACCTTCCTGCCCATCAATACCCTGTTGCTTCATTTCAGGGGGTCTGTCGGGTAATGACTTCTGAAGCTCATCTGGCAGCATACCATTAACACGGAACCATACCTGCCATAAAACAAAATGAATGAGTTAGAAAGCTTTAGAGTAGGGTCAGCCCTTATGATTGCTATGGGCAGCACCACTCTACAACTAACCTAAGTTTATGCAGATGAATGGCCAATCAAGCAAAGCGCTTGCCTGCGTGAGATCTGGTCTGGCATCTGGTGAAGACTGAAGCATATCTCTTATTAGGTCTACAATGGAAGTGCTATATTTTGGTAATTCTGGAATCCGGTAATTGCCATTTAAAACTTGAAGTTTTGATTCACCATCAAATGCAGACTTGAAGTAGCATATCCGAAAGAGTAGACAGCCAAGGGCCTGCAAGACAAAAGTGTCACTGTGTTCTAAGATAACCTCTTAAAATCTAGGTAAAAGAATTTTCTGTTTCCAAAATCATCTTACAGTATCTTCACGCTGCTAAACTTACCCATATGTCTACCTTCTCATTTATAATTTCTCTCCGATACAAATCCCACATCTAAGGCAAGAAAAGAAGTGAGATAAGATAGAAGTCAGCAATCAATACCACTGACGATAACAATAATCAATAACAAGTCCTCAATCAACCTCAGGAGCTCTGTATGCAGGTGTAGTGTGTTTCCTTATATTGTCCTCCTCGATTCCCATTTCCTCAGGTTTCTCAAAACGCTTGTGGTTGGTTGATGTACTGCCAAAATCACACAACTTCCATAATCCATCAGCACCCAGCAAAAGGTTCTCAGCCTTCAAATCTCTGTAGAACAGGAAACACAGTACTGAATAACAAAACAACAAAATCACAAGAGAAAATGATGTGAATAAATTCAGTGTTGAAGGGTGACGACTTCGCAATGAATTGGATCTCTTAACTGTTCATTTTGTGCATTTAAATTTCTAAATCAACAGAACCATTAAAGCAGTCATTCAGTAGTTATAACCACAAACAAGGGAAAGCATAACTGGCAGAAAATCAAAGGCAACAACAACAACGACCCGGTAAAATCCCACAAGTGGGGTTTGGGGAGGGTAGTGTGTTCGCAGACCTTACCCCTACCCGAGGGAGTAGAGAGGTTGTTTCAGATAGACCCTCAGCTCAAGAAGACAAAAAGAGACAATATATCAATATCATCAACAGAAACCATAGAATGGCAGAAAAATCAAAGGCACGAACAAAATTAAGCTGGAAGCAAATATGAATTACATGACAACATATTTAACATACAAACTATTGAAGTATTACAAGCAAAGAAAGGAATTATGAAGCCCTAAATCACTAAACAGATGAAACATTTTGAAGACTACCATAAACAAAGCCTAAGCTCAACTGAAATTACTAAGAACATTCATCATCAGAATTTCAAAGACTATTCGGGCTAAGAGTGTCCGACTTTACCTGTGAGCTATGGATGGGGACTGGCAGTGCATAGCAAAGACAGCATTGCATACATCCCTGAATATTAAGAGGACTTGTTTCTCCTCAAAGAAGCCAGCTCCTCGGTTCTCAAGGACACTGACCAAGGATTTCTCACAATATTCCATAACAAGGAGAGCTTCCTTTGTACGACCCATATCCAAGAAGGTATGCGCATTTAGTGTGACAATATTAGGATGACCCTTGAGCGATTTCATCACTGAAATCTCTTTCAGTACTAGATCAAGTGATTCTTCATCATTAACAATAATATGCTTTAATGCATACTGCTTTGAACCATGTAGTACATCTCGGGCTAAATAAACACAAGAGAATCCGCCCTCTGCAATTGCATTGCGCACATGAACTTTGAGACTGCCAATATCAATGGTGCGACCTTCAAGCCCAGCCTGTTCCTTGGGCATAAAAGGTTTGAATCTCCACATCATAAACAATTCTATCAAAAAGAAAAAACCACTAAGAATCATGAAAAAGATAAGAGATTTAGCTAAATAAACAGTCAAATTAAAATTTTTTCGCAGTAAAGTGAACCAGCTGTACAACCAATATGAAAAACAAAATAGCACATGTACTTTTGGTGGTGTTTGGAGTTCTTCCAAAAACTGAGTTTGCAAACCCAGGTTGAGTTTTGGAAAAAGTGTTCCTTTGACTTGTTTCTAGAACAAATATAACTTTATGTGAAGATTTCCAAACTGAGTTTTCCAAATCTCTCAGTTTTTGCAAACGCACCCAAACAAACACTTTTCTCAAGGGCCTAAGCTGAGTTTGCAAACTCAAGTTTTGGAAAACCTCAAAGAAACGCCACCTTACAAAGTTTTGATCATCCTAAAATGGATATCGATAACACTGCAGATATTTACATTAGAGAGGCACAAACAACGAGATTACCACAAAAACTTCACTCCTACAAATGCAACAAAAAGTTGTTGGACATTTTCCAGAGATGGATATTTTCTTCTTTTGGCATGAGGAGGGGGAGGAAAGTGGTCAAAATGTAAACTTCCATAAAATCAGGAATAACAAACTAGTATAATTACAAATTTAGACCATGTTTCATAAGCTAACCAGATAAATGAAATAGGCATGCACAGGAGCTGCAGGTCTTTGAATCAGATAAAAATTTCTGATGACACATAGGAAAACTCAAGAGCCTTAACCGATCAGAAAAGAGACCTGCTTCACTAATATATACTATTGTCTATAAGGCCCTGCTACACTGTATTATTGCTGACAAATGTCGGAAGGTTTATCCAATACCAAAAATAAACTTTAATGTAAAGAGATATTTATGGTAAAAGAACATTATCATAGAAAGATAATCAAGGAATCTATCCACTAATCAACCAATAGATTCTGAGCTCCATCATATGCCTGAAAGATTTTGTTTAGGACCACTATGACATAAAGACAGAAAACAAGCAGCTTTTTAGTGTTCAATTAATGCACTGGACTGCCACAATGAATGGTGGAACTCCAACATTAAAGACAGTACAGAGACTCATGAAATACAATGACACCCACTCTATCCCGTATAACCTATGTGTTACTATTATTATCACCCTGATTGGTTTGCCTATGTCCTTGTTTTTCTGGAGTTCAGGTGTAGTCTATTGAATGTACCAAGCGTGATCAAAATGGTAGTTTTCTTCTTTCTTCTTTTCTGAATAAGTAGATAAAAAAGGTCATTAAATGGCAATAACTGTCAGAAGAGATGTCTAAACCTGATTATTTTGCAAGTAATGAAGAGAAACATATCAAAATTAACGAGTACACAAACATGCCATTTCTAGCATAAATTTGCCTCTATAGCACCCAATTAGCCTCCAAACACACACAAACATGCCATTTCCGTGCAGATTAAAGTCAATCACATAAAAACATAGATAAACTTCAAGGTTATAGTACTACACTTGTATCGAAGTTTTTCACAATTAGTGAATTTCTTTGTTATTTTACTTTCTCCAGGATTAATTTCATAAGATTTGTTTTCATAAGAATACAATCTTTGCTTGTCTAGATTTTTATTCTTTTTCACAGGTCCAACGAATTCAAGCTGCTGCAAACTGTTAAATCCTAATGGTTCCTGCTTAATTGCACAAACTACAGATCAAGGCAAAATAAATGCTGTTTCAGTGTACTCTCGGATGCAGTAAGCTTTCAATCCTGACCATCTACTAAAACTTTAGCACCACACTACGTCTTAAGAAAACATTCGTAGCACTAACCCCTGCATGCTTTCAAAACTGCGGGACATTTCTCATTGACAACATGAAATACCAAAAATGTAGATATAACTTGTATGCTTCACCTCAGGCAATGGATCCAAACTTCCCTAAAAAGATTCTTTATCTTTAACCAAAATAGTAAACTAGCAGATCCATTTGCACCCAAGAACAGCTCCACGATATCAAATTTTGGTCAAGCAAATAAATCAGGCCATTCATATAAACAATCAAACGCAGATTTCATAGTATTCTACACGAACCAATTGAGAATGAATAAACATAATCTGCAGTAGTAAAACATTGATAGTCCAAGAATCAATCAACTTATCTGAAAAAACTGAACACTACCCAATTGCAGTAAATCCAAGAACTTACCAAAATTGGTGTAAAAAATCTACCTTGATCAAGTATGTTATCAAGAGCCACTCCAGATCAAGAAAACAAGCCACTCCAGATCAAGAAAACAGAGAAAATTTCCTAAAGAAACTGCATTTAAGCAGCAGCTTTTGATGTAAAATTGGTGAGATCTGGGAACAAGGATTTGGGTTCTTGGGATTGCTATTGAGATCTAAGAAAAGTGTATAGTAATATTCGGGAGGGGTTTCGATAGATCGCGTTTTTGGCCAAGGCTCCTATGGCTTTTTATTCTAAGGCAACAATTTGTTTTTCCACATAAGTGGTGAGCTTCTTTTTTATTTTTTTTCCTTCTTTTCAGTGGTGATGTTTCATCTGCTTCCTATCACTATTCTTTTTCCTGTTTTTTACTCTATCAAGACGTGTGTTTTTCCCTTTTCTCATCTTTTTTGTATTCAAAGCGGGGAAAAGGAAATAGTAGTAGACTGATAGAGCAAATCATTACGTAATTTTTATTCACTTTATCGAAGTGGTTTTATTATTATTTTAAAAATATTTTGGTTGTCTCAATTTATGATTTTAAAGACATTTAAAAATGGACATTTAAGGAAATCTATGATTTTAGGAGTATCTCCCACTTTTAAAAAATAGTCATAATAATCTATCTATATAGAATAACACAAACAAAACAATATTAGGCTGCCAAGTGGAACACCCATCATGGTAACACATGTAACAAATTAAGACAACTCTCCAAAAAAGTTGGAGTTTTTTTCTTCTACCTACAAATCAGCTAAATCAGCAAAAAAATCGAAATAACCAGCCAATACTCACATCTTTGCCAATCCTCCCACGATTTTAGCTTTCCGGTATTTCCTCCCCTTAATTAACGTGGTTGTTATTAAAAACAAAACAACATGCATCTCTATAAATCAGCAAAATCAGAACAGTTAATACTCCCACATTCATCCCACGATTTTTGGTTTCCAGAATTTGCTCCCTTTAATTAAACTTGCTGTTATTAAAATCAAGGAAAAGATTCCTCCACTTTGTAAGTTCCCGTGTTTTACTCTGTAACTACCATCCACAATTTGCAATTACTTTTTTTAAATTTTTAATACCTACATTTTTAAAAAAAAGGAGGAATAATATCAGTTATTCCAACAAAACAATCGGCATCTCAAACGCAAAACAATCTCCATTATCCCACGACTGCTCGTGGCCTCAAACGTGCTCTTCCAACTGAAAAATCCCAAATTTATATACACATCTATAGCTCCATGATTTATGTGCTTTATATTTTCAAGNTTCAAAACCTTTTCAACTTCATATTTCATCTACTACAGTCTGATTGCAATTACTTTGCAAGTATGGCCACACAAATTCATGATATCAAACAAATATCATCCAACTCGATGCAATGGAATCTCAAAGTTAGAGTGGTTCGAATGTGGATAATTCCTCGCTTTAACCCGCAAATACCGTTTTCAATTGAATTGGTTTTACATGATTCTAAGGTAACATATTCAACTTTCTCATAGTTTTAAACTTACTAATGTAGTCGCATTCCATATGAAAATTCTTTCTGATGCATTACTTAAATAATTCGACTTCCATATCAACAGATCTTTAACTGATCTGGAATCCATTGTGTCATTTCGGTTTTCACTTCGAATGTTGAGTATACCTTTACATAGTGATTGTCCTTATATTAACAATCAGGTAAGTTGCATCTTTGTACATAATAATAGATTTATTGTTCAAAATAACAGAGGAATTGTTCTGCTATTAAAGAAGTATTGTTCAAAATATATAAGTTCGGCAAATATTATTAGCTACTGCTTCCCTTGGTTACACGATCATCGGATGAACATATACAAACTACGTTTATATATGCAATTTTCAGCTTTGTTTCTGCTAATGTTGCCTTCATAATTGATATACAACAACTGTAGCATTCTGGTTTTTGACATTACATCTTTTAACAACTTTACACAGTGATGAAAGTATATACGCGCTTACATTTGTTGGCTTCATAATTGTGCACTAATAATGAATCTGAATTTGCAGGGTGATCGTATACATGCTACAATCGGAAAGTATGTTCTTAAGTTTTTTAGGAACAAGATACATGAACTTCGCTTATATCGTATGAACTACTTTGTAGTCGGACCAAATAATTTGAAGTTGAGGACTACGACACACAAGTTGAAGCTGACATTTACTCAAAAGACATTTGTCGAGGAAACAAATGATCATTCATTTCATATGAACATCTTTAACTTGCGCCCTTTTCACCAACTAACAAATGAACATGATGTCGATGAGACAGAATTACTCGGTAATATTTTTTAAAATTTTAAATGAAGTTAAAAATGTTATTTCTTAAAGTATGTCACTAACTTTTATGTTTATAGATGTTGTTGATCAGGTTGTGACCTATGAAGATGTTAAGACCTACAATCAGGGAGACGACCAAAGTTTCCTTATTAATGTTGTACTCGAAGATGATCAGTAAGTACTTTTAAAATAGAAAAAATACTTTATTGATAGATTACATATATATGTGTTTATTAACCTTACCATGAAACGTATATGAGGAACAGGATTATGGCAACATTATGGAGTAAACTTGTGGATCAAATTCAACATCACTTGAATGAATCTGCCGATGAGCCTTTGATTGTTGTTTTCTAGCATATGAAACCTCAAAAATATCGAGGTTTACCATAAATTACATGTATTTTTTTATTTTACTGTATAAATAATTTTAAATTTCAAATTTTTATTCATATTTCATTTGACACACAAGTAATTACTCAGTGCGTAGCTGTTGGTATCAGACAAAGATATGGATAAATTCTACGTTGCCGCAGTCTATTGAATTTAAATCCAGGTTTGTGAAGTGTATAATCCTTTTCTATATGTACAGAAAATATAACAATAGTATTTATAAATTACAATTTTTGACTTATGTAGATTACTTGCAGCACGTCAATCAAACATTGAGTGAATCACTCGAACAAGTTCTCAACAAAGTTACTCTGTTAAAGATGAGTTAGACAAAGGATTTGTACTGTTTAAAACTATTAGGGATTTAGTTCAGTGCACGCAAGTGAGTTTAATTTACTTTCTCAATTATATTTACCTTATGTTATCTGTTTTGCATTTACAATAATTGTTTATTTTTTACTCAATAGGAATCCAGCTATTGGATTGCGGCAAAATTGGTTAATTTGGAACTTGACCGAGGATGGTCATACTTGACATGCAACAAGTGTAGTCGAAAGGTGGAAAAAGTTGGAAATAAATACTTTTGTGCCAAATGCAATGAAGAAGAGTCTTCTGTTACTCACAGGTTAGTACTATTTAGTGAAATTTTTAAAATCTTATATCTACAAAAAATATGCATAAGGTTAATAAAAATTGAGTTGCAGGTATAGGCTTCAAGTTCGTGTTATGGATGGAACCGTTTTTATCTCATTGTTGCTTTGGAATCGCGAAGCTATGCAACTTATAGGAAGTCCGCAAAAGAACTTAAGGAAAGATTAGTTGAGGTATACTACTAAATTTAATTTGATT